AGGATCACCAATGGGCACATACACATTTAACTGATCAAAGACTGAAATTATAACATGTCCACAAATGCAATCTAAGAAAACCAACCGAAGTAAAATAATTTTGCATACCTCTTTCCACTAAGAATTGTCTCCTCCAGTTCCCTATCCTCCCCTCCTTCATTTCCAGCAGCATTTTTCTTACTAAGCTCGTACCTTATCGACTTAACCTGCTGCGCAAAATCACTCTCCTCGTCTAATGAATTAAGGGGCACCCTCCTCTTAATAATCTTCACATCATACTTCCCCAATGAAGCACTACTCCCTAATTTCCTCACATTTCTCCCAAATTTCGAATTCTCATTAGCAAAGGGCTGCACGGACTCACCCTCTGAATCGAAATCCGAGTCTTCATCGCTTGAATTATCGCTTCTCCGAAACCTCCCTCGGCTCTGAACTGAGTAGTTCCTACCCCTAACGTTATTGCCACTCAAATTTATCAAATTTACACTTCCACCATTTCCCGCCAAATCACGACCTTTCGATATCAGCTTCCTCAGGTCTAACGGCGGTGCGGTAACCGATCTCGTCCGTGCGTCCGAGCCAACCGGTGGAGGCCGGTCATCAATCGGCCCATCCTTTTCGTTCCACAAATCTTCTGCGCCTTCTTTCATGAACCGATCGGCTAGGGCTTTAAGGTGCTCGTTGGGGTTCATAGGGTTGTGCCCGGTTTCTGAACCCTGATTTGAAAACGGGTCGGGTTTCCCGACGACTTTGGCCCGGATTTGGGAGCGGAGACGGGCCTCGTAGAGCTGTTTCTCTTGTTCTAAGAGGCGCTTTTCCTTCTCTTTGGCTCGTTTTTCGTGCATGCGCTTCCATTTCCATTTGGTGACGCCTCCCGGGAAGGTCCGGGGCCCGCCGCCCATGGGTCGGGTCAGTACGAGCCTGCATAGAAGCTTCGAGAAGTCTCTCGACCGTTCCAAAAGGATCGAAGCGGACATTGTGTGTGGTTAGTGATTCAGTGATCGGAGAGAGAGAGAGAGAGGGGAAGGGTTTTACTGGTTTAGGGTTTAAGGAAGACAATGGGGATGGGCCTACATTTTAATTTGAAGCTGAGGTTTGTCATGCTTCGCTATAAAATGGGCCTTTGTTGTTTAGGGTTTAAGGAAGACGATGGTGTTGTTGGACCTCCTTGTGTATGGGTTTCAAATTTCAATAAAGGGCCATTTCTTGTTATTTTCAGGTTTTTTCTTTCTGGTCGCAATTTGTTATTATTTACAGTTTAAGGAAGAGAAAAAAAATGTCGTACAAGTGATTAAGAGCGTTTAACCCACACACGAGTCCGAATCTTATATGTATCTTATTTCTAAATTCAACGAAAGGATACGGAGTTATACATTTAAATACAAAAATATTTTGTTAAAAATGTGACGAAGTTTGACACAAGCATTTGAAGTCAAGTTTGCTAAATGTCTAACTAGTGGTCCATTAATTTCTCGTTCTAATGTTAGAAGACACTGGAAACTCAAAGTGTTGCTACCAACAAGTTGCAACTTGCAAACCCATTGATGGAAACAAACAAAAATTCATGCAAGTAAAAAACCTAAACATAGAAATAATAAGAAGCTTTGTCAGCCCTTACCTCAATCATGGACAACAGAGAACTTAAGACCATTTCATTATATAAAAAAAAGTCAATGTCGTCCCAAAGTTTTCGCCATCTCTAGCCAACCAGACAAGACAATGGTTAATTTGTGATACTATAATTTAAGACCATTTCATTTCACTCGTCATGCATTGTTAATTTGTTAGAAAATTTAAAAATATTGCATTAGGTCCCAAAATGGTGAATAATTATGATTTCAATTTTCCAAAAAAAAAAAAAAAAAAACAAGAAAACCACTTTCTTGTCTAATCCGTCGAAAAGCCTCCATGGGGTCCTAATTTCTTGAAACCAAATGAATGCATCCCAATTTTGAGGAGTATGCATCTCAAATTGTGCAAGAACAAAACTTATGACCATCTCTGCCAAGAAAACAAATTAGACAATAATGTATTTGAAGTTTATACGCATAATTCCTTTTTCTTTTTTTTTTTGGGTTACTCTTATGCTGTTGGGGTAGCCTCTAAATTGCTTTTGTCACTTATTGCTTGGATTATGGTAGCACTCTTGTAGCTATGGTGGCTTGCCCACCACCATTTTCTGTTTGTAGCATTGGTTACTGGCTCCTCTCTTGTGGGTGTGGCCTTGTGTTGATTGCACTGCTATTCGGTTATGGGTGGTGTGGCATTTCCCTGTCCCGTTTTCTTTGCTTTTTGCATTTTTTTGTTTTTCTGGGCTTTATGTCCTCTTTAAGTTTTATGATGTAGTAAGTTTTTTGCCTTCATGTGTTGCAGTCTCTTTGTTGTCAAATTTGATTCCGTCCAAAAAAAACCCATCTTAAGAACATTTAAATTTTAATAATTTAACTCAAGAATTAACTAACTCTTCATATAATGATATATATTTTTCCAATGTTCGAAGCAGTCTCAAGTTCAAATTTCTTTCTCATTGATTTAAAAAAGTGTTGAACTCAAAAGTGATTGACGATGAGCACTTTGGAAAGATGTCATGGCATACGTGACCAGTAAAGAAAGATGTCATGGCATACGCGACCAGTAAAGACTCATAGGTTGAACCAACTTTGACAATTTAGTAGATAAATAAACTATAAATATCTTCAAGAACAGAAAGAAAAAGCACTTGGAATTCCTTGTAAACCATCATCTACGAAAATGGAAGAAACAACAATCACTTTTGGGTCTAAGAGGTACATCATTCTTTCAATTTGTTTGTTAATTTCATCATTTAATTAAAATTCTTTCTTAATTTTGGTTTTGAATTTCCTCAAAATAGGATTGCAGTTGTAACTGGAGGCAACAAAGGGATTGGATTTGAGATAAGCAGGCAATTAGGTTCTAATGGAGTTGGGGTGATATTAACTGCAAGAGATGAGAAGAGAGGCACAGAAGCTGTTGAAAAGCTAAAGGCTTCTGGCTTCTCTGATGTGCTCTTTCATCAGCTGGATGTCACTGACCAAACTAGCATTGCTTCTCTGGCTGATTTTCTTCAAACTCAGTTTGGAAAGCTTGACATATTGGTAACTCTTTTGATCTCTCTCTCTCTCTCTCTCTATGCATCTTCTTGTGGAAATTGTATGTTATCTTTTCTTCTCATCAGTTTATTTTTCTTAACCACTTATAACAGAAATGTGTGTTTTTTTATTTTTATATAAATATATTGCAGGTCAATAATGCAGGAGTTATTGGATCTTTATTCCTCACTGATGACAAAGAGAAGTTGGCAATTGGGCCTGAGGATGTAAGTCAATAAAATTCAGATATTTCTTTAGACAAAAAAAACTAAAACTCAATCTGTATCAAGCTAAGCTAACCCTTATGATATATATTTGATGTACTTGCATCACTTACTAATGAATATATCATTGACAAGAACAAATACCGATGCAGCTTATAGGTCCCAATTGTATCAAGAATGAATATGTAAAGCAAACCTATGAGACAGCAGGGGATTGCTTCAAAACAAACTACTATGGAATTAAGCAGCTCACAAAAGCACTTATTCCACTTCTTAAAAAATCCAACTCGGCAAGGGTAGTCAATGTCTCCTCTGCATTGGGACAACTAAGGGTACACAACCGAACCCGAATCATAAATCTAAATACAACATTATGTTATGTTGTTAGACTGATATAAACGTATTGGTTTATTGATTTTTAGGTTATTCCAAATGTGGAAGCCAAGAAGGAGCTAGGAGACGGTGATAGCCTCACAGAAGAGAAAGTGGACAACTTAGTTGAGGGATTTTTGGAGGATGTGAAGCACAATTTGATTGAAGCCAAAAGCTGGCCTATTAATCTATCTGCCTACATTGTATCCAAAGCAGCTCTGAATGCTTATACCAGAGTCTTGGCTAAAAAGTATCCTAGCATTGCCATTAACGCAGTCTGTCCTGGTTTTACCGCCACAGACATGAACAATTATACCGGTATCCTCACAGCTGAAGAAGCTGCTAAAGGTCCGGTGAAGGCGGCTTTGTTGCCGGATATTAGAGTTTCTGGCCGCTACTTTGAACAGACTGAATTGTCAACCTTTGAATGAAAATTTGAGATGTAAAATGATATAATTGTTTGCTTTTAATATACCTAATACCTATGTACATGTGACATGTACGTGTGTATGCACAATGTGTTTTGAACAACAAATTTTAGTTTTAATAAAGATTTCAATTTCCAGATCTCTTCTCTTATTTTGACTTACTTTCAGTTGCCTGGTTAATTTATTTGAAAATTCTTTCTGTTGCAGTCGATCGGTTGCTCAAATTTGTGCTGGTTTTATGGATCGTGTGGGACAAAGGAATGCCAGGACATGATCTTAGCCTGTTGTGTCAACTCATGGTTTTACGAAGTAGTTAATGGATTTTTTGGTGTAAAACTTTTGCTATGATCGTTTGGATGTTGAGGAAGATTTTCTCTTCTACAGTACTGTTTCACAGTCACATCTGCTTATTGATGATTACAGACCTTCCTATACTTTGGATTTTTCAACTGCTGCTCAATTATTTACTTGTTTAGTTGATAAACCCTACGACGTTTCAAAGTTCTTGAGTTAGACAGTGTATTAACCCTTATGATTGCCTGAGGATTTTTTGGCTATCTACTGAGTATTTAGCTGTTCTGCTGCCCAATTCTTTCTTTTCGATGGAAAAAGCTCTCGTCCCAATCTACTATATTTCATCTTCAGCCGATATAAGTTTCTACAACTCCAGTGTAAACCTTGTGTTGCCAGACAAAACAATTTCCACCCTACAGTGTATTTTGCGTACACCCAAGAGTGATCCAAACCAGACGTGACAAACAATACAAACTCGTCTCCTCATGAATTCCTATGATGCTGGCTTTGCCAATTCTTTTGATGATATTCTCGACGAAAGTGAAAGTACCACGTCGGATCGGAAACAAACATGATAGAAAATAATACTTCACACTCAAATCTCTGACTGTTAAAGAAATTATATAATTTGTTTCCATAGAATCATAAATCATTTTTTACAAAAACTTTAGACAGAAAGCCTCAAGCCAGAAAGTACTGACCCATTGTATAAAGGAACAATTTCTTTGTTTCAATCAACAAGAAGAAGAAATCATTCATGGGTTGCACAAATCGATCTTCAGGAACAGTAGTTTTCTTCCCCTTGGAGGGTTTCTGAGGTAGGGCCATTTCTAATCTTTAGAACGGACTGTTGCAGCATTTCGTCTCGCGCAGCATCCCACAAAATATATCATAGACTGACATTGCACAACAAAAGGAAGGTCAGGAAATCAAGCACTCACAGGAGCATATTGAGAGTAAAAGATGGTGGAAAGTCAGTTACTGAATCCTTCTCGGTAAGAGACCAAATATATGAATGTAGTAAATCTTTTTTCATTAATCTTCAGCCAATGCACATTGCATAGAAAAAGGCCACTCTTGTGATTAAAAGTTTTTGGAATTCGATAGTCTTATGATTTATAGGCAGTTCAGCTTTCATTATTAATTCAAGAGAATCCCATCAAGTAGTAAGAGAGAATGCTTCACCAGAACAACAAATAGAGCCACGTTAAAGATCGCAACCACTCTCCACTCAGTTTTCATGTATTGTGCAACTCCGGCCCTTGAAAATGATAGAAGTATGGCAAATATGAGTGAGAAAATTTATACAAAAGAAGAAAAGAAAAAGTAAATTGAGATAGAGGTGATGCTTACTTGCAGGAATCGCAGTTGTAGCACTTGATGTCCCGGGCATTTTTGTAAAGTTTGCAGTCCTTGTTTGAACTAACTGGGTGGAAGCTCATGTCATAGTATGAAGCATTAACAGCAGGATAACCGCATCTAGGAATAAAGTTGAATCCCAGCAATTGGTAATATCAGTAAGATGGAGTTTCACTAGTCTGAATTATGTCTGAAATAAACTGCATATAAACTAATTAAACTTCCATGGACCATGAACCACATAAAATGATTGAGGAAAACAACTTAATTTGTTCTCTCCCCCCACCAAACTGATACAATAATATAATAAACACAAATATGTATAAAAGTGGGAGGCTGTCTAACAGTTGAGATACAAATACATATTTAAACAATTCGATCAAGGACCTTATTATAAAATAATTATATATACATAAATATAAAGGGAAGCATTTTGATTTTCCCCTGGAAAGCAGAAAAACGCCCAGGAGGGTGATGGGAAGGAAACTTACCAAAGAAAAAAAAGACACAAAAATGAAAAATAGAAGTATGACACCTACTCAGATGGTGGTCGACAACAACCAGCCTCGATAGGGGTTAGCTTTGCCAATTTGTATTGCTTGAGAGTCTGCATCCGACAAGTGCAGTGAAATATCTTTAGTCAATGGAAAAGAAAAGGGAAAGAAAATCAAAACTAGGTGATGGGAGATAAATGAGAAATTTAAACAAGTTAAGAATTGGACCTTATACTTTTTGTATAGGTTTTTGCAGTCATCAGATTTCACAAGACAGCTCTGTAAGTGCTTCCAGTTATGGGTATTGTTCAACTAAAACAAGAAAGTGAATAACTGATATCAAAAAATGCATGCCAAAGTTGGCACTTCATATCAATATTTTACACGGCTAAAAGAGCAAAAGAAATTTACTTGTTTTACAAACCATGGACTGTAATCCTGGAGTTGATACTCCTTGTACCTGACCAGACAAGAAGATATTAATTGCACCCATCATACCAATCCTAGCTGACCAGTGCATACGAAAAAGAAAAAAAAAGGATAAAGAAATAATTTTCTTTTTATTCCTAAAGAGTGGTCTTCTGACAAAATAAAGTTGAAACTTGTGGCTGCATTCCTAAGATGATTTGAAGCTGCTAAACTTTTACAGATTCTTTTTTTTCTCTATATTTTTCATAGTACTGCTCAGATACTTTCAGGAGTAGATATTATAAATCAGCATTATACCCATCCGAAAAGCAAGATGAGGGACCAAATGAATACTAACCTCAAGCCAGCTATGCTATGACCAGAACCATTATTTGTGACAATGAACCTACAAGTAAAGGCAAAAAATTGTGCAAGATCAAATTCATGAGCACTAGTAAATCTGTGCACTCATGAAACAGGCACAATGAAAATTAAACCATTGAGGAGCAGATGTTGAATTGGTGTAAGCCAGCGAGTCAAAACTCACAAATTGAATTGGGGGAAAACTAAATTCACAACATTAAATACAGGGAGATTGAGAAAATATAGTAACTATTTAAAAAAGATCACATATCAACTGTATCTTTAAGGGGGAAAAAAATGTATCTTCACAAACATATTCCAGCGTAACAACATATTGACACAAGAAGATACTTCATCATCCTAAGATACAAGCTGAACCCCTGTATCAGCTTGCATCTTAGGATGATGAAGTACCTTCCAAATTAACCAACGTTTAGTATTATCTACATGAGGACTGGCCTTACTAAATAAAACATGTCCAAGCACATAATACATCTTTCTACAACAACAAAATTCAGACTAATCGCATCCAGGATATCTTTGTACATGATCTATATACTAAATTGATTTTATTCTACCTCCAAACCATC